TTGCAACGTTGTGAAAATGTATCTCGAACCGCATCACAATCAATGTACTCGTGGTCGTCGACACATTTTAACTCCGTTGAGATTTGGATTTGGGTCACATAAATGTGCACCCGAGTTCAAGAAAATTAAATTATTAAAGGTGCGCCTAAAGCGACTAGCGTATCATTTACTTTGGGGTAGGGCCGTGAAATTTTGCTAAACGGTCCATCCCGAAGTCTAAGCAATTTAAAGCAAATATTTACTGAGGGCCCCGCAATTTTTGTATTTTTATTTGGAGAGGCTCATCTCATTCTTATTATTTTTTTTAAGGAATTTGCAACGTCATGGACACGCATCTCGAACCACATTACAATCAATGTACCTGTGATTAGAGACACATTTCGACTCCGTTGAGATTTGGATTTGGGTCACATAAATGTGCACCCGAGTTTAAAAAAGATAAGATTTATTTAAATGCGCGCCTAAAGCGATTAGCGTATTATTATTTTGGGTAAAGCTGTGGAGTTCACTGAACGGCCTATCCTGAGTTCTAAGGAATCAACACATACATTTTGTGAGGGCCCCGCAATCTATGCATTTTATTTGGCGAGGCTCGTCTCGTTTTATTTAAAAGGTCATCCTATAGTGGCTATGTTTTCTATTGAGTTTGTCTCTAATAATGAAAGAAGAAGAACGGTCCAACTTTATTTACATGCTTACAAGTTAGTTATAGTCGGGTTCCGAATATGATTTGCAAAATCCAAAACATGAACGCGTATATGGGTAGTTGTTTTGATACTACGGGCCCAGGCCCAATGTGCATAACGTGAAACTCGACCTGGGCCATCCTTATTCCAATTGGGCCTAGTTAACCTATTTTGTATATGTTTGACATTTATAAGGGGGCTGAAAATGTAAAGTACTGCTTGTCTGATCAAGCAATATTCCTACCAATTCGAAAACAGGCCATTTGTTTAAAGAAGTAACTATCGGATACCTAACATGCTTCTCGACAACAATGATGAACTAACAAAACATGGCTACTGCCACATTAGTCCCTTTTAATTATAAGCAAAGCATAGAGTTCTCCAACTAAATGATATGTATAAAGGTTCAGTTACATCACAGCTAGCTACATGGTTCTAGTAGAGAAAGTAAATTATCATACATACAACTAATGTTCAGTATATTTCTAAAGCGAATTCAAAATAACTTCAACTCTTCATTTTTGTATTCATGCTTCAAATTTCAGCCTACATTGACCAATGTATCAGTTGTGTACCTGGTATAGGAAAATAAAAGAAGAAGAGGAATGATCAGTGGAAGCAGTAGCACACACACAACAACACAACAAGCAGGAAAGTAGCAACACAACCCCAGCAGTCAGATTTTTGTCACCAACAGCAAACTAAGAACACTCAACTGAAACAGTGTTCAACAAGTAGATAAACTAGGAAGAACTAAACTGAAACCCAGCAGTGTCCCAACACAACAGACTGGTGCACGAAAGTAGTAATTTTTGATTTTTGTCAAAACACTCAAGAAAAGCATCCTCAAACTCTTTAATGTAGAAGTTTAGCTTTAACACTCTACCTCTCTCAATTTCTGATGTCCAATCCCTTACTCTATTCTAAATGAGCTTATTTATAGGCAAAATAGGCAAGCCCCAGGCTGCCTTGTTCCCTTCAGACCTTAACTCTGCCCATACCCCTTAATTTCCCATTATCAGGTGTTTTGTGCCCAAAATGGTATGGGCAGCTGACAACAACCAACTAATCCCCAATCAATTCATTTTATTATTACTCAAATGTTATGGGCCTATTATAATACTCAACTAACATCCCATGCTATCAAGTTTTGTTCCCCACTATTGTATTAGTTTAATCATACTTCAGTACCCTACTGTCAGCCCAACTTAAACTAACCATTTTCTGATCTTTTCAAACCCCAAACTACCCTTTTTTACCCTTGGTTATTACTGTTTTAACCTTAGCTTCAGCAGCCTAAAGCTTGAACTTATGGAAGTTCAAACTCAACACCTGCCCAAGACTGACTTCTAACCATTTCTAATTGTACTGCCGCTACAAACCATTCGCAGATAATTTCAAACAATCAGTTAAACTACAGTGGTTCGATCAATCATGTGAGGCTTATTAGAACCAGAACATTTGAACATTCAGCCCTGTACAACTAATCGACGACGTTTATCTAATCGACTATACTAATTATAACATAGAACGATTAGTCGATAAACAAATAACACGAATAGGGACCCAAATGGCTTCAGACAGCTTGGCACAAAACAAGGGAACAACATGAATGAAACATTCGACGACACTAATCAAATCGAGTATGTATCCTACTACACGCATTTAACAATGGACAGAAGAATAATCGACCAAATAAAAAGGTCTTACGAAGATAGAGAAAATTGAAAGAAAACATCAGTAAAATCAACAAACTAACTAAACATGTTAACGAACACAAACATCATTCAAACAAAAATAGAAAAGAAAAAAAAAGAAAACTCACTCTGGAAGCTCAACAACAAACGACCCAAGCTTTGATTGGATTTGACCATTTGAGGTCGAACGGACTTTAATCGAGGTGTTCTCAACTGAGAACACTTCGATTAAGGTCCATTAGACCCCAACCCTCCGTTTAAACTAGCCGGATTCCCCAAGTTCTTGTGTTCTAGGGTTTGAACAATCCGATTTGGGGCTTGAGGATTTGTGGGTAGATTCGGACCAAACCAAACTTGGTTTGGTCACGAGTGAGGGTAGGATAGTTCCTGGTGTGAATTTGGGGTGGGTTGGTGTAGATCAGGGTTTTGCTCGAACCTTCAAACGAAGATTCGAGACGATGGGGAATGATTCGAGGCAAGCTGCTAACAGATTTGTGTTCAGGGTGGTTGGGTGCATCAGGGGTGTTATTTTGGCAGTCACCGGCGTCGTGGTTGCCGGGTTTACGACGAGGGTGAAGGGTGGCGGCTAGGGTTTGAACGGGGGATGCTGGGTTTGTGTCTGGGACGAATTGTGCACAGTAGGCGAGATGGGGTTTGGTTTGGGGGCGTGGGGTGTGATGAGGGGTTTATATATAGGGTAAGAGATTAGACCCTGGCTGTTGGATCGAGTTGGATCTATGGCCAGGATCTATTTTGTAATAGGAAACGGCATCGTTTCCATTAAATAAGACTGGGTCGGTCTAAGGTTTAAACGAGTCGGGTGCTGGGGAAGGCCATGGGATCGTTAGATTAGATTGGACGGACGACTCAGATCAAACGCCTTATACGGCGTCGTTTGGGGGGCGTCCCTGGAAGACCTGGCTTAAACTGGGTCATTGTATTGGTTTGGGCTTGATTTTCAGTTGAATTTTTGGCCCAAATCCGGTATTTTCTTTTCTTATAATTAAACAAAAATTCCTAAAACCAAAATTAAACTACACAACTATTAATTAACACCTAACAACAATTATCGCACGAATTAAAACATTTAATAAAATTCTCATGGTAATAAGTAGAATAAAAATGCATATTTTTTGTGATTTTCGCTTTTAAAACCAAATAATGGTTAATTAATTCCTAAATGTATCATGCATGCGACATGTATTTTTGTATTTTTAACTATAGCAAGGCGAGCATTTACGGACAGAATAATAATCAAAACGTCACGCAAATTCTCAAAATTGTACCCGAAGGTAATTTGTTTTACTTTTTCGATTTCTTTTGGAGTAGTTTCCGCAAAGCAAAAATCACGTACTCACACACACAAATGTAAGAAACATCTCAATTTGATTTCTTCGAGTCTACAAAATATTTTTTGTGGGAAGATGTTACGAATTATGACTTACTTATGTTGAAAAAGTAATATTTTTTAAAAATAGTTATGTCAAACTTAGTGAAATTGTTTTGGTTTAAAGATAATTTGATACAACATTCCCACACAATTTTTTTCATTATTTACGGAATAAATTTTTTTTATTCAAGCAATTTAATTCTTTTTCTAAGAAATATAAATTATCTTTTGTTATGTTAAATTGACATAGATGGTCATAATTAAAATTTTGAAATTACGTAAGTTAGCTTTGAAAGTTCTATAAATTTTATGGTTATAATCTAAACGTTTAAAGTTTTTATTCATAATTTACTTCCAAGATAATAAAAGCTTTAATATATACATATTATTTTACAACTAAAAAAAAAAGAACAGAAGCGGGAAACTTAAGCGCCATAGCAAAAAGAAAAGAATCAAAAACCTAGATCGGTACTTAGAGACGATGGTAACGCTGGGATATTGTACTCTCTCAAACTTCAACCGGTGCTTTTGCTCTCTCCGTCTCCTCCACCCCCTAATCTCCTTCATCTCCATCGTTTCTCCCCATTCTTCTAAATACCCGTAAGCCTCTCTTCTTTTTTATATCTATCCAGTAATTTTCTATTTTTTTATAAAAATTTGAAGACACTTGACTTCTCCCCACATGTACGCCTCTAGCCAAATGTATGTTTTTTATGGTCATGGTTGTTTTTACTACCTTTTTATTGAAATTTATGAAAGAAGAATCCGTTACCTGTTGAGAAATTTTAAAGAAGAGTCCTTGTTGTTTTGGCTTTCACACCCTTCTCTGCAAAAGAAAAAAAAATGATCTTAATGTAGAACGACTTTTGTCCAAACTTGGTGAAATGGATTGTCGTAAGTGAGCAAAATAAGATGTTGTCTCTGTTTTGGAGTCTTACTATTTTCTTCAAATGGAAACGCATTTATCTAGTGATTTTCTGTTTTCGATGTTTATTTCTTCTAACTCTTATTTGGAATTCATAATTAAGGTTTATTTTGTTTTTCATATTGATGTTCAATTACTGCTTTGGCCAATCATCTTTATTTTGTTTATCCCATCCTTTGTTAAAGTGAATGTGAGTTTTGGCCAATTACTGTTTTGTTTATTTCTTTGTCAATATAAATTAACATATATATAAAGAATTAAACATTTAGGACTAGAATAAAATGAGAAAGTTAAGAGACTTATTTATATATTTTCCCATGAATTAATGGTATTTGGACATGATTTCTTGTTTTGGACGAATTCTATGGAATATTTTCTCGTAATTCTTTTTTGTATGATCTGTTAGTGTGGACGCAAAGATTAATTGTAGTGATTATAGTGAACTACAAAAATTGTTTATGAGCTGACAAATGACTAAAAAAATTGTTCATTCTGCACAATTTTGCTATTAGATTAATTTTTGGGCATCCAAGAATTCCAACACTAGCTACTTTATGTCTAGTGCCTAAATGCTATTATCTGTGTTTTTAAATATATTTATCTTTTGGTTCAGAAAATGAAAATTTCTGAGCATCGAAAATCGATGGAAAATAGACTTCTTCCCCGTCGAGCGGGGTATACGGATGAATTTATAAGTAGCATGGATGAGTTTATTAAATTTCTTGTAGTCAGCCTAAGTACTTGTCCGAGGGAGTCATAAGGTGCCCTTGTAAGCGTTGTAAAAATATGAAGCACCTAAAACGCGATGAAGTTATTGCGCATGTTTTTCAAAAAAGGGTTCACGCCAGGATATTGGTATTGGATATCGCATGGAGAGGAAGCACCTCCAATTGATTTGAATGAACATATCTATTCAGGTGCTTCGAGTTGTCATCAAGGGTATAACTTTGACAAACCTTCAAGCAGTCAAAGTAATATTCCTGAGGAAGACTATGAACATGTAAATAGATATTATAGTAAGATTTATGATGCTGCTGGTGTAGAATTTGGGCATCAATTTGAACCCAATATAGAAGAGTCCCCGAATATGGATGCTACCAGGTTTTACAAAATGTTGAATTCAGCTCAACAACCTTTATGGCCTGGATGTAAATATTCAGAGTTGTCTACAGCTGTTAGAATGATGAGTATTAAATCCGAGTACAATATGTCACAAAGCTGTTTTAATGCAATGGTACAATTAATGAAGGATACAAGTCTTCCAGATAATAAGATACCTCTAGATTACTATCATGCGAAAAAGCTAGTTTCAGGACTTGGTCTAACTAGTCAAAAAATTAATTGTTGTGTTAATGGATGTATGTTGTATTACAAGGTTGATACAGAGATGACAGAATGTAAGTTTTGTAAAGAACCTCACTACAAAGAACGTGGGCGCAAGAAGGGTAATAAAAAGGTTCCTCAGAAGACAATACATTACTTGCCACTTATTCCTAGGCTTCAACTTTGAGAAAAGAGCAGCTACAAGAATGAGCCAACTTTTTCAAGATACTAGAAAAAAGTTGCCTGTGAGACCAAATTGGATGGAGGATGATGTATTCAAACAGATAAAGGAGTATTGGGAGTCTCCTGAATTTAAGTCAAAGTCCGAACAAAACAAAAAGAATCGTGATTCAAATGAAGGTGTCTCAGTTCATACAAGTGGTTGTATACCTCATCGAGTGATTTGGAAGAGAATGGTAATATGTGTGTGTATGTGTGTGTGTGTATATATATATATATATATAGCTTTTTAAATTTATTTCTTCAGGAAAATAACATCATATTCAGTGTTGATAATATTGTATTTTCCTTTATTTACAGAAAGAAGCTACTGGAAAAGAAACTTCAATTGCATAATTTTATTTTCAGATTCATCGCACAAAAAAAGAAAAATATTGGGTAAATGAGAAAGCTGAAGCTGCTTATGTAAGTGTTCCTTCTTTTACTTTTTTCCGAAGCATTACTTCAGTGTCAACATTATAATATAAACAGATATGCCAAGAGTTTAAATTTGTACTACCTAAGTACCATTTTGAAACTAGATATACGGCATCTGTCTTATCGCCAGTAACTAAAGAACTACTAATCATCTTTTTTTCTCCTTCCTTATCTTTTCATTACTGCATGTGTGCTTATTCTCTATCCAATTCAATGTACAAGAGGATCATATGCATGCTAAAGTCTTGCATAGCTAAGCAGAAGGCTTTGTCAACGCACAAGGAACGACAATAAGGAAATGACTAAAATTTATAGATACAACAAAGAAAATAAGCAAATTAACAAAAGATATATTCAACAAAAAGAATCCACATGAGAACTTCATGTGTCTGTTGAATAACACTAGAGACTAACTACTGCAAGAAAATACTAGTTTGCGAGAAGAACAAATTATATCTAAGTTGCAAAAGAATATAACAATTAACATGGAAAATAAATGTTCTTTAAAGAATGAATACAACAATCAATGTGGAACTATTGGAATAAAAAATATACTACAGCTCAAAACTGATCAGTACTCACTGGAACCCAGCAAAAAACTTAGCTCAAATTATGCGAATTTTGCTCTAAAAATACTGCCGAAATTGAAGCTATTCTTCTGCCAAATTCTAGTCCAAAGCTGCAGATTTTTAGCAGCTCAAGCAGTGGAGAAACAGGGCAGAAATTTACTCTCAAACACTTCCCCAAACTCATTTCAACACCCTCTAAATATCAGCCCCTCAAGCTACTATTTTCCCAACTCAAATGTTGTTCCCAGGTTGTTTAAAAATCCAGTAGGAGCTGACCAAACTTCAGCAGTAAAACACCCTTTAAACCCTTAGTAGCCCCTAGTGGTAAAAAACATTAGGCCTCTTTATTGTTCAATATATAAATATAATTGAAATAGTATTGACTTGGACCTTTATTTCAAGCAAGTTTAATGTAATGATATGATACACTGTTGAATTTAGAGCAGGGTTTGAATTTGTTGGTCACTCTCTTTGTCTGCTATTATTTCTATTTTATTGTTGCAACATTCAGTTATTTGCTTTATTTCAATTCAATAGTCAAAATGATCAGCCCTTCGCCTTAGATGTTAAAGTTCTTCTTTAAGTGAGATTGTGGATTTGTTATATTCCTGCGAATTGTTAAATACTAATCGCATTAGATTATGATTACATTATGATTTTGTTGGGAATTTTTCTGGGATTTTACATGCAAATATTTCATGGAAATTTTCTTGCGAAAATATACTCCTGCGGATTTTACTTGGGATTTTTAAAGGAATTTTCCTGCGGAATATTCTCATAAATATTCACAAGAAGATTCCTTTCGTCCATAAAATTTCACCTCAAAATTTCCTACGAATTTACATGAGGATCTTCATGGGGAATTACCTGCGGATTTCTTCCTACATAATTTCCCAAGAAAATTCCCTTTGTTTATGAATTTTTACCAAAATACTCTTGCGATTTTTTTTATATGCTTCGCTGATAAATCCGCAAGTAAGTTACATAGGGATACAAATCCCCATGTAATTTACATGGGGATCTTTTAATTCGCAGGTAATAATTACCCTCGAAGGTTTTTCCAATGGATTTATTTTGGTAGGAAATTCTGCAGCAAATCAAATTACCTGTGAATATTTGTATATTATCCCTAGGAAAATCTCCATGTAATCAATACTTTTCTAGTAGTGGTCTTTATTGGAAATCATTATTATCTCCCCTGTAATTGTTTAGTCTTGATTGAGGTGATGATTATCTTCCCGATGCTCATCCTTAATTGAAATTATTATATATTCTTCGTAAATTGCCCAACCTTAAAAGAAGTTTAGACAATCTATATTTAGTTGACATTTCCTTATTTGGAATTATTTGATTCGTGTTAGCTTCCTTGATGTTGAATTACATATTGTGGGATCGTTGCTTCATATTATTTTCTCCCCTGTCGAGCTGTTCTTATCACGCTTAGTATTCTCTATTATGGTTATTCCTTGTGAGTTAGTTTTACCGTTTCCTTGTGATCGAAAGTTTTTGAGTTGATTTACTTGTCGTGTTCTTGTATATATTGTCATTGTTGTTGTTGTACTTGTTATGGTGCTACAGGAGGTTTTCGCCGTGTGGTTGTTGATATTGTGATGCACGAGCTTTCTGCCGTGCGGCTATTGTTATGGGGTTGGACGAGGTTTCTACCGTGCTATTGCTACTATTGATGTATTGCACATGCGGCGTGACAAGGCGGGGTATATATGTATATATAATTATATGTGGGTTGCGCATATGGCGAGACAAGGTGAGAACATTATGATGCACGTGTGGCGAAACAAGGCGGGCACTTATTATGTTATTATTTGCACACATGGTGAGACAAGGTGGGCTATGTCAGGGATTAATTGTGATGATTTGTGATGGCCTGGGGGCATTCTTGTAGTTTAATATTGTGTTGTGGTACGCTTACCTGTGTGAGCTTTATCTCGTGGGAATTGTAAGGAAACATCTTACGTGATGTCCGTTCTTTTCCTTACGATTATTAGCTGGTAGGAACTATATTAAAGCACTTGCACAAGCATACACGTAGTTGAACACTCCTATTGGATGTGACGTCCTCCTGATTTTGTTGAGTATAGATGTACACCCTCGTTTACTGGATATATATGTGAGAGTAGCTCTAGTTAGCAAGGGAGTTGTCGGCATGACCATGAAGTTGATGGGGCACAGGATGCCAAGTGTTAGATTTCAGGTACGGGGACTCGTGAGATGTAATTTGTCTGAGATTCGGTACTTAGTGGAAAGTTTTGCATAAGACCTGATGGGAACACTGCCGTAGTACCTGAGTTATTACTTACCTTTATTGTATTGTAAACTTCGGATTTGGTTTTGTGTTTTCGCTCGCTTTTCTATGTCACTATTTTGGTATTTTTGCTGTTACTTGTTGTTTTATTCCCTTATTGTGATTGTAGTATTGTTAGACATTTCGTGCCGTCTTTATATAT